ACTAATAAAGGTCTCTTTTACCATCTAGCCTGGTGTGTTCCTTCCTGGGTTTCTCGGTTCTCTCGTGTTCCCGGAGCCTCGCTGGGTGTTAGGGCCCAGCTTCGTGGAGGCCTTTCGGCTGTTCATGCTCCGTGGAGTGAAAGTGAGACTTTAGGTCTTACAGGAGCAGAAGGGATGTGTCACCCGCCGAGTCTTGCACGACAAGAAAACACAGCTGTCACCACAGAAAACCACGCTGGTCTACTGGGGTTGTCAGAGGCTGGGACTCCCTGGGGCAAATTCCCTGGAAACGGCCTCAGCCCCACAGCCCTCCCCGCAGGTCTGTCTCTTTGGTCTGATGTTTGTGGGACGTATGTTAAGTGTGCTGCTATGCAGTTGGATGTGTCATACGTGAGGGGCTTTTTACAAACAACAGGAAGCATGAAATTCTAGGAAGAATACTTGATTTGTTGTTGTTTTGACACAGGATCTCGCTAGGTAGTGCAGGCTGGGTTTGAACTGCTTACGTAGCCCGGGCTGGCCTGAAACTCTTGGGATTTCTTTTTTTTTCCCGGTACTGGGGATTGAATTCAGGTCCTTTGCGCTTGCAAGGCAGGCAGTGAACCACTGAACTAAATCTCTGGCCCTGGCCTGGAACTCTTGATGATCCTCCTGCCTCAGCCCCCTGAGTGCTGGATGACAGGTGTGTGCCACCATGCCTTTCTTGAGCTGATTTTAAGTGGTGAGGGCCAGGAATATAGCTCAGTGACGCCTCACCTGCCTGGCAAGTGCAAGGTCCTGAGTTTGATTCCCAGTATGGGGTGAGGAGTGGTGACCAGGCATGGTGGTTCAGGCCTGTAGTCCCAGCACTTAGGAGGCTGAGGCACAAGATGGCTTTATTAGTTAGCCCAGCAGTTTGAGACTAACCTGAGTAACATCGTGAGACCTCACCTCAAAAGAAAAGATTTATGAGAAGCAGGACCAGAATAGTATGTCCCAACGACATCTGAATTTGTGGAGGGTTGCTACCAAATATGAAGCTCATTTTGCACATTCAGTAGTCAAATATATTTACAGTTATTTTTTTAAGAGGTATGAGAAAGATTTATTAGAGGTAGATGTGGGACATACTCAAGAACAGAGTGCACGTGCTCAAAGAAAGATGATACCTATTTACTGTTTCATGTGCTTTTGGAATCTCCTAACTGAGGTGTGAACAAAAACTTCTGAAGCCAGGTGCTGTGACATGTGCCTGTAATCCCAGCCCTGTGGAGGCTGAGGCAGGAAGATCGCTATGAGTTTGAGGCCAGCCCGGACTACGCGGGGAGACTCTGTCTAAAAGTTTAAAAAAAAAAAAAAAAAGTGGAGCATCAGTGCAATGCAGACACAGCTGTTGGGACAGCTGGGGGTTCCTTTGTGACGGTGTGGTTAAGTTGCACTCTGTGCGATCACCCAGAGACAAGACGGCATGCTGTGACAACACGGCAGAGGATGGGATCAGCTGCAGAGAGCTCCTGAGCGCCTCTCCTCAAGGGGGCCGCTGCCTACACAGGAAAGACATTCTCACCCGTGGCCTCAGCCTTGCATTAGCAAACCACTTCCGGGGAAGGCAGGGGAAACGAGAACCCTACACTCACCTCTCCCGCCTCCTCTGCTCCTGTAAAGCAAGCCAGGGAGAGGGACGAGAAGCCATTCAGCAGCAAGCAGCAGTGGGCTTGCAGGGGCTGGCGGAGAGCAGGGAGAGCTGAGTGGAGCGGGCGAGGAAGCAGGTTCTGGTTGTCTGCAGCTGAAGTCGCTTGTGTAGAAAATCACCGTGCAACACAGTCCAATGAGCACAGAAAGGCAAGGGTGGTATATTCAGCTTGCACGATTTAAAAAAATTACTTGGCACTAAAACTTGAGCATTTCATGGACCAATCTCTTCTCTAGCTGCTGATAGATCTGACCTCACCGCATACCTCAGCTCTCTGCTCGGCTCAGCCCATCACCTGGGGACAGCCCCAGTCAGCTTCCTGTCGGGACCTTGGCGTCCTGCGGTGGCGCACTTAGGAGCAGACATTCAGTGTGACTTGCAGTTTGGGAGGTTGCAGCCCAGGATGGGGCTGACCCGTGGCTCTGGCCGTCTCGTGGCCCTGCCAGGTGCCGAAGGCCGGGGTGGTGAGAGAGCAGGAAGAGATGTAACTCCCAACCTGCTAGACATCCAGAGTGCAAGTTCCTGTTCTCTAAAGTCAAAGAATGAATTCTGGGAACAGCAAAGGTCAAGAGTAGGAAAAAAGTATTGAGAGAAAGACAGCTTCTTTTATTTCTTTATTTATTTTTTGTGTCAGGAATCGAACTCAGGACCTCCCACTTGCCAGGCAGGCCCCGTGCCACTGAGCTACATCCCCAGCCTGATAGCTTCTGTCTAAGAGACAGAAGCAGGCCCAGAAAATGGGTTACACCGCGTACAAGGACTGAGCAAGGATTTTCAGTAAGGGGTGGCTGGTCCATTCCTAGAAGCGGTGGCTAAAATCTTGATCCTCCACCCACGTGATAGACACCTATTTAGAATATCAGTCGGGCTGGGGATTTAGCTCAGTGGTTCCCCGCTGCCTACCTCACAAGTACAAGGTCTGGAGTTAAAAAAAAAAAAAAGAATATCAATCACTGCTATTCATCTCTAAGGCAGGCACCCGGGTGTGGTAGTGTCTCTTCTTCTACAACGCTGGTCTTCAGTGAATGTGTGTCGCTTGTCTTTCGTGTTGGCTGCTCTTGGGCTGGCCTTGTCTAACTGCCTACAAGATACCTAATTAATTTTCTTATCTGCAATATTGGGACAGACTGAACCCTCACCAAGGCCAGGAAGCGGATGGGAGAGGAAGGGCTGGGGCTCCATGCACGATGTCCTTCCGGGGCAGACCCTGGCTGGAAGGCTCCACTGTCGCTCAGAAGTGCCATCCTCTCCGAGCCACCCACATGCGGGCCTTGGTGACACTCGAGACCCACGCAATAATGACAAGCAGCCCCTTCTGTCTCGTCTTCGTTCTGGTCCGCTCCGATCTGTGCACCTGCTCTTCTCCCCTGCTTCCTGTTTGTCCAACTCCTGAGACACGTGGGGTCTCCTTGTAAATACGTCGTCGCTTCTGTCCAGAGAACCAGCTGAGAAATGCTAGTCAGGGAGTCGCTTCAGGGTCTGGTGAAGGGAGCAGGTGTGAATGTTCCCGTGTGGTCAGCCACACAAGCACACATCCTTGCTACCTCTCAGAGTCAGAACTGACTTGGAGCAAAATTAGCCCTCAAGATCCACACAAAGGAAAAACCCCAAATGAAAGGAACCGGCACCCGGTGAGAAAGGTTGCCTGGCAGATGAGTTTTGCTGGAATCTTCCTCCGGGTCTTTCTGTTTGGTAGCACTTACCCTCTTAACGCTGTTTCAACGCCTCAGACCCCTGCTGGACCGTAAGCTTCCAATAGCATAGCTCATCCCGTTCCAACAGCACAGAGCCTAAGGAAATGAACCGGGTACAGTGACACACGCTTATCATCCCAGCTACTCAGGAGGCTGAGGCAGGAGGATCTAAGCGTGAGGCCAGCCTACGCTACAGAGTGAGACTGACTGTATGATAATAAGGGTTGGGGGACCAGGGATTTAGCTCAGTGGCACCGCGCTTGCCTTGAAAGCAGAAGGGCCTGAATCCAATCTCCAATACCAAAGAAAAAAGAAAAAATTTGGGCTGAGAATTTAGCTCAGTGGTGCTGCAGCCTGCCTCACAAGCATAAGTCCTGAGTTCCAACCCTGGTACAAAAAAAAAAAAAATACTTGAAATCGGGTGTTTGTTATTTCAGTTGCACTTACCTAGCTGCCCTGTACTCTTGCATCTATCATCTAGTTCCCAGTAGTACAGTACGATCAGAAGGCTCTGTGTACACTGCCCTTTGGGAGAGTAGGCGCTGTCCCCGTGTTCCTGGTCCGTGGCACTGCCTGTGCCTTCGCCTGGCTGGGCGCGGTCCTCAGCTCATCAGGTTCCCACGTAGATGCCCCGTGGCTTCCTGTGAACCGTGGTAGGAAGCACAGCTGTGCCAGGGCTAAGAGCCAGGCCGGTGGGAGTGTCCTGGCCTCTGGGCAACACCTCCTTCCCTGGGCTTTGGTCGGCACTTTGCCGATTCATACAGCCTTACTAGTTTTTTATTTTGTTTTGCAATGCTGAGGATTGAACTCAGGGCCTTGGCACTGAGCTGCATCTCCATCTCTTCTTTTTCTTTGAGAGAGGTTTTTGCTAAGTCACTAAGTTAGCCAGGCTGGGCTCAGACTTGTGATCTTCCTGCCTCAGCCTCCCTCCAGGGAGCTGGGATTACAGGCGTGGACCACTCTGCCTACCACTGGCTAGTTTTGTTGTTTTATTTATTGATTTATGGGTACCGGGAATCAAACTCAGGTCCTTGTGCTTGCAAGGCAGGTGGCAGAACCCACTGAGCTAAATCCGTGGCCCTGGTTAGTTTTAATTTGAAAAGATGTACTTACCACAATTATGCTGACACCCCCCCAGAGAGTCTGTTAGATTTCCCTTGCCGTAAGATGACCACGGCACAAAAAGAATAGCCTTCCCCTTCCCCCAGTGCCCTGCTTCTCACCTAAAAATAGGGCTTCTCCCACTGAAGGACAACCTGCTTCCCGTGATGCCCCCTCCTGGCGACTAGTGAGGACAGGAACCCGTCCTAGTGATGTCACGAGCTCCCCCATCCCGAGCCTACATCGCTCAATCCCACCCCAGCTCCTAGAAGCCCCGCCCCAGTGCTATAAGAAGTGCTCCTTGTCTCCGTCATAGTGCTCTCTCTCCTTTGATCGGAGACAGCCCTGCAGATTGTCCCTACTACAAAGGCTTGTAGAGGTTCTGGTCTGGTCTTGGTTTTCTGCTTTTTCTTTTTGAGACAGGGTCTCACTGTGTAGTTGAGACTGACCTGGAACTCACTATGTATCCCAGGCTGGTCTTGAACTCACAGTGATCCTCCTGCCTCAGCCTCAGCCTCCCGCGTGTTGGGATTACAGGCATGCGCCACCGCGCCTGGCTCTGCTTTTTTTTTTTCTTCTTCTTTAACCTGACAGTTTAAATTTTTAAAAATCCAATAGGAGGGCCAGGGGTTTAGCTCCATGCTTCTACCACCTGCCTTGCAAGTGCAAGGTCCCAAGTTGGATCCCCAGTACTAAGGAAAACAAATCCAGTAGGGCCAGGTGCTATGGTATACTCCTGTGATCCCAGCTACTTGAAAAGCTGAGGCAGGAAGATTGCTTGAACCCAGAGGTTTGAGATCAGCCTGAGTAACATAGTAAGACTCCATTTCAAGATATTTATTATTACTAATGTAATAAATGCTATTTTCATTAATTATACTTGCTTAATTTATTAGTATGATTGTAGAGGTACCGTGAAGCTCAACAACTAGGCCACACACTGAGAGGTCCGACAGGAGATTTTACTAGGGAAGACAGCTTCAGGAGAGAAGACAGAGGAACAAAGAGAGGAAGGTCCTTTTATTGATTTTGGGCTGGGCTATCGCTTATTTATGCGGAGTGGGCTACCTTTAACCTATCACCGGCCAGGTTGCCCTTTTGGGTTCAGTCCTGCAGAAACAGATTTAACCTCTCCCGGACCTCGGTGGCCTTGCCAGGGAGGGAAACTAAAGATGAGAGCATGAGGTCTTTAAGAGCCAAGAAGCACCAGGAAAATGCAGCCTGTGATGGCAGCGTCGGGTCCCTAACGATGATTACATTTTAATATAAATCAGTAAGTTTTATTAGTAATTATTAGTGACAATTTTATTTATAGCCTATTGGTTTTAATTGCATTTTGAAAATAAGCTATTTACACATTTTAATGAGATGTGTATATATATTAATA